GGAGGGATGGAGGGAGGGATGGAGGGATGGAGGGATGGAGGGATGGAGGGATGGAGGGATGAAGAGAGGGAGCGAGGGAGGGCGGGAGGGAGGGAGGGAGGGAGGGAGAGGGAGGGAGAGGGAGGGAGAGGGAGGGAGAGGGAGGGAGGGGTATGTTGATGGATAGCTGTGGGAGGAATACCGGGAGTGCTTTTATGGAGGGTTGGATGGCACCAAAGTTCAACTATTTGCTTGGCTCTAGCTCCTCATTTTTCATGTAGGAAAAGCATAAGGCACTCAAAAATCTTCTTGGTTGCTTACTTGCGTGTTCTTCTGGTTGCGCGCTCCTTTCCTTGGTTGAGCGCTCGCTGAGTGTATCGGCACTGGGGCGAGGGGGCGCTTTCCTGGCCCGCTTGACATCCGCGAGTTCAATCGCCCCACCTTTCCTACTCGACACCACACTTTGGTCGTCATATTCGTCTCGTTGCACTCGTTGATGTCCTGGGGAAGCTGCGCTGCCGCACTCGGGGCCACGAACTGCTCCAGCAGGCGATCTGCAAAGATCCTTGCATTTCACGGTATTTTTGTTGGTCCGTTTGGTCCCGGCAACACAAAGAAGAAGACTACTACAGCATGTATAAATCGAAGCCGAGGGTGGCACCGGCAGTGGCCTTCATTGATGTTGATCCGGCAGCTGCAGCTTTGATACGAGCCCGCTTCATCCCAGGTGAAGTAGGGATAGTCCAGTGCTGCTGTAGCCACAAACCTCACGATCTCCTGAACATCGGGGTTCCTTCGCTATTGCATCCCGGCGCCCGCTGACTGGTGCTTGCATGCATTGCAGAGCTCAGTGGTCTACGGTCTACATGTCAAACGTAGAGTCTGGCGTCTGGCACGTTGCAAACTGCCAACAGTCGCAACCTGCAAGACTGCCTAAGAACTTTGGGTTCCCAGCTGCACTATTCTCTCTTTTGCTGTCGACTGCCCTTCAATCCCGACTGTTGACCACCAACCTTTCGCAGAAGTGCCTCATAGGAAAGTGCTCTCGCTGTGGGAAATGTGTGAGAGAAGGAATACCAGTGTTCATCTCCGCCGTCGTCCTGCAAGGGAGGAAGGGCAGTGGTAAGAGGCAATCACCACAGCAGTGTTGGGACATAGTTTTGCTTCACGCACATGTCCTTCAAGCGACCTGGAATGCGTAATCCGAAACTTTAACCGTTTCTCATCAGGCTGCAGCTCCAACCGCATGGAAATAGGACACACAGGTATCAGAGAAAGTGAACGGGAAAACTGGCCCTAAAGGTGGCTATCTAAACACTGGCGGCGACGCCTGCAAAATACCCTGACGGGTAGTCCCTTATATCCCTGACCCCACACCCGATGAAAACCCCCCCTTCTGCCCTGCCACCGGCCTCACCCCGTCCCCGCTTGAGTCGCCAGCGGGCCAGTTGGCAAATAGTGTTTTGTCTTCCCTCGTTTTTTTGAAAATGAGTGGGTGCCAGATTTCCTTCAGTACAGGTGATGTGGAATGCATCAGGATCATGTTGGTCGGACCTTTGGGCTTGGCTCGGCGCTCAAGGTCTTTTTGGATAGAGCTTACAGCAGCCGGGTGTACCATCAAGACTTGCCGTTCGGTGTTGCCCGCCATCGGGCGAGGCCCTTGGCACAAACAGGATGACGACACCTCGCCAACGGGCGAATTGTGAAAAAAAACTAAACACGCACGTCATGCTGTGTTTAAACTGCCACGACGGCATGAAATCGGATGGGATGCAGCAATACCGGCGTGCAGTGTGCGCTTTTGCCTTCATGAGCTTTCGCATCCACAATAATGTATGCACGCCTTTTCGTCTCATGAGAAGAACCTGAACGGGCAGGGCAGCTGGGGACTTGCAACCCTAGAGAGGTGTGATAGAGCACTTTGTGATACCTTCCCTGACTGTCGGGATGTGCTGCCGAGCGATGTTTGAAGAAGATCCAGAAGCGCTGACTGCACAGGCCTCTTCATGAAGACGCCAGGCACGCTTCACCTCCACCTCCACGCTGAGAAGGGGTCTTCGACAGGGCTGTCAAAGCTGGAAACTTCAAGCATCATCAGGCTCGCAGGCTTGCTCCAAGTCTTTTCGGTAGCACTCGGATTGCATGCGATAACCAGCCACGGCTGATCTGGATGAATTGTCTGAATTTGCCAAACCCCTCAGGGGTAGCACCACCTTTGCAAACCGGGCGCTTGAGATCTGCTGTCGCGGGGCCTGTGAGTAGTCGAAAAGCTCGTCAAGTCCTGGCCGGGCGCATGTCTCTTTCCGAAGCCAAAACCCAGTCCAGAACCCGGATCCTCGACTGCCACGGCCGAGTGAAGCAAAGTTCACCTCCAGCAGGCCCACACTGGAGCTTTGCTCTCTCAGACACTAGTCTCTTCCAACAAGCTTCCAGGACTTCGAGCAGCGCAATCTATGCATGCAACATCTCAGGCTAGTAGGCTCGAGGCTTGCGAGAGGGTGCCGCTTGCTCGCTACAGCAAAAACTCCAACCGAAACTTGCGGCTACTGCTCTCCTGCTCCATGGACCCATGACAGATGCCATCCTGTAAGCATCGTCGCCTCCGCTGCCGCCACGTGCGATGACCTTGGGAGAAACAAGACCTTGGCGTCAAATCCAGTCAAAAACAGTGAGGGACAAGCTTCATCAAACCAGCAAAAAAGAGACACGTAAATCGCGTCTGATACGCGAGCCCTGGCCTTGCTGTGCCAATAGTGGACACCACCTTCCCAGTAGTTGATACCTCCGGACTCGACCAAGCGCATCTGATGATACCTGGCGACTCGGAGTTCATGCAGTGCTAGCACAGTATCAAGCACCAAGCACATGGGACGTTGGCCCCCTGCTGCGGACAACTATCGTGTGGTACGTTGCCACGCTGCCCCTTTGAGTCTGAGAACGGTGCGCTGCAGCTGCAAAGTCACAAGTCAAGTCTGCAACATACAGCTTCGCGGGCTTGTCTGGGAAATCGAAGGAAAACCACTCCTGGACACACAAACAAACGCAGAACTGCCTGACCGCATTCACCACAAAGAAAGCAAAGCGTCACCTTTTGACATGCTGCAGAGATCAACCACGAATCGATTGCGACGCAATGTCGACACGGAGGCTGGTGCCGGCTGTGTCTCCACGGTCCTGGTCGGCATAGTGCTCGTAGCCACTGTAGCGGAAGCCCAGCTGGCTCACGAAAAGCTGCACCGGATGCTCATCATGCGCCATGGCTTCTGACGGACATGATGGCCTGGAGCTTTCTCCAATCTTGGCAAGGTAGCTTCTCTGTACACCTACATCAGACTACATCCTTTCTGTCAGCAACTGCTGAAAAACTGCTGGCGGCAACATGCACTTGTAGTAGAAAGCAAAAACAGTAGTCGTCGTCGTACAAGCAGTAGCAGTAGCAGTAGC